GCCTGCGTGCTGCTCAGGGGACGCGAACTAAGAAAGCCTGTTACCCAGGCAGCAAACCGCCCTGACGCCCGCGGCTTCCCCATCGCGTCAGGGGATTCCGAAGTGTTCCAGACCCAAGGCGGAGCCGTGTCCAGCCGGAAGGAACATGCAGAAGGGACCGATCGGAGTGACTTCCTCTGTGCGCCCCCCGCAGACTCACTCCTCCTGCTCACCAAGCATCAATCCATCGCCATCAGCTCAGGGTCACTGAGCGACTGATGCCGGAGACTGTCCGGGCCTGGTTACTCGTTATATTGCACTTGGGGACAATGGCAACAGGACGCCAGGCTCGGCACCTCTCCCGGGAGCTCATTCTGTACCAGAAGTGACAGTGAAAGGCAAGCACGTCCCATCCTCACTGCATCCGCCTCCCAGCCAGCGAGAGGGGTAAGGCTCCAGAACACAGGCCTACGCCATTTCTTCACCACGTTTGATCCCAATTCCATCTTCAGATTTTATTTTTTTCTTATTTATCAAACTCCCACCTGCACGAGCTCCCCAACAGCACAGCAGGTGGCAATGAGTCAGGCCCAGGGGACCGGTCCTCACCGTGCCGGGCGCTCCCTCTGCCACAGGAGCGCCCGCCGCCTCCCGAGCTGTTGGCCTGATAACCCCGCCGGCCTGGGACACGCTGTGCTGTCGCCACACAGACCCTCCCTGAGGGTCACGGCTCGCTGTTAAAACCGTCCGCAGCCTCTCAGGAAGTCAGCAGAGTCTCTTTTCTTAATACGCAAATTTCCTCTTTATAGAAAAGTATTAGAATTCACCATGAATAAGTAGTTTCATATCGCAGGTATCATTGTGGCACTCCCTTTTTGATTGTTTTACACGTCGGAATTAAGAACTCAATCAGAATGATTATAATAATCGCAAGGGAAAGGGAAAGGGAAGGCAAGGAACGAATGTCTCATGCAAATGTTTTTTAAAATATTAATTCTCAAATAAATGCCTACGTAAGAAATCAACGACAGCATCAATATTTACCAACAACAAATGCTTTAAATATTATGTACCTCACTCATGTGTTTTTTTAAACTGAATCAGATTACAAGAACCGTCTACTCAAACTGGATTTTAATTCTCAATAAATAGCACAATAGTAATTAAAATAGTTGAAAATTAAAATAGTTTTCATAGGGTTTTGTTCTTTTACATTTTAACCAAATATATTGACAGGCTACTTCCAGGTACAGAGAATCCAAACATTTCCCTCCACGAGTAGGCGCTCACATTAGACTTCTACCATATTCTTTAGAGATGTAAATTTTCATTTTTAAAGAAAATCCTACTGCCTAAGACCACAGTGCATAAAGGCAATCTGAAACATCACGTGACGTTCCGATGGGGCGCCCTTCGATCTCCGATACCAGACTGGACCTCGGACCGAAGCCCCACGAGGGACAGACTATGCGAAAGGAAACACAAACTGTGCTTAGAAAGAGTGAATATCTACCCAACACGTCACTTCAGGAATGACTGTCGGTGCGCGGGGGGCCAGGAAAATGGGTCAAGTCGTTATAGAGCGACAGCGACTGCCTGGGGGCGGGCCCTAGGAGAAACATGGTTTTTTCTTTAAAAGAAATAAGTTTATTGGCAATAAAAGTCCCAACTGCATGTGAGTAAGCTCTCTTAAGCTGCTAATAAAATCCATCCTACCACTGATGCTAACTAGGGGGTCCTGCTGTTGGATCGTGTGTGACTCACCCACGTGCCTCTCGCGTTGGCCGCGAGGGGAATTACCACGTGAGTCACGGCAGGATAAATCCCAGTTGTCTTTAAAACAGAAAGATACTCAGTGATTTAAGGGAAACACTTGTCATTGCCTCATGAAGACAGCAGTTAAAAAGCGACTGAATCTCAACCTCTAACGCATAACATGATGTAATTGCACAAAAATAGTGATGAGAGTCATCGCAGCCGGCTCTGAGGGGCTGTGAGTGAGTCACCCAGGCCTCCAGCAAACGTATCGCCTGCAGGCCCAGAACACTCCGTGCAGCTTTTATAAAAAATTCCTAGAAAAGTAATTCACGGTAAAAACCCTAAGAAAGTTTTAAAATCTTCCCAGTAACTGGAATTGCTTATAAAAGTACCTTTAAAAAATTATCTGAGAGCTGAGACTGGTTTTGCACGTTACACCTCGCTCCGAACGCGGTAACGCCAGGTACGCAGCCTCGCACCACGGATGCTCGAGACGTTCGACGCCAGGCCCTTCCCGTGCGGCCGAGGCTGGTGCCGGCTCCTGAGGTGCAAGACTCCTCGCTGGCCTTGACGTTCCTCAGTAACAGTTTGGGGAACAGAAGGGAAAGAACCCAGACTAGCACCGGAGGGAAACAAGTGAACCCGACTGGACACTCGGTCCAACCTCAGAACGTACTATTGACAAGCAACTCTATCGGAGAACTACAAACGTGGTTTTTAAATTTAAATGCCCTTTTTTTTGTATTATAAGTGGCCAGACCAATTCAATGAAATAAATGACTTCCAACTCCATATGGATTTAAGCAGCACGGCGCTCAGCTGAAATCAAGCTGTTACACACGGGGTGTCTGTGATGTAAGAACTAATTTTTAGCACAGGTTGACTTAAAGGATGGGAAATGCAGCGTACACTTCAATAGTCAAAAGGCAATAAAGCGGACTGTGGATTAGATATAAATAAAAGTTTAACAACACGTACCCGAATTTCATACTAAGTCAAAATACTCTATCTATTCCAGGAAGACATTCTGATGTGGTAATAAGTGTAGGTATTAAATATTAAAATCCCAGTTCCCGGAGCTGTAACGTCTTCAGTCACTGAAGACGCGCCTGTAGTGTGATGTGTATGAACACCGAGTCCCTGTGCAAACGATGCGGATGCGAACATCCAAGAAGGAATCGCTTTAGAACAACAACAACAGATTTCGTTAAATCCAGAGCACAAGCCAGAAACGGTCACTGTGGGGGGGGAGGGAGGGTACCGTGTCACAGAAAGTGTGAGCCGCTGACGACCGGCCTATGTACATGATGAGCTACCACGGGAACCGCGTCACTCAAGCACCAGACGCACGTGTCAGCGGGTGCGTTCAAGGTGCGTCTGAACTTGGTGGCGGGCAGCCTGGCGGGTATCGCTCCCGTGCTGTGGCCGACGCCCCCGGCAGCAGCGTGATTCAGCCCCGCGAAGGGACCGGGACCCGGGGCCCAGGCCGCCCTCCGGGCCGGGGGCCGCGCAGCTTGAACCGCCGGCTAGGTCTCCGAGTTGCCTTCGCCGTTCTCGTGCGGCTGGAGCTGCTCCCTCTCGGGCTCCTCCTCAGG